GTTCATTCAGTTTCACACTTGTGACCCCTTGTTCTCCCCCACTTTGCCTATGGGGGTGTGTCAGAATATTATAGCTTACTTATTTGTGTAGGCTATAGTGGGGTATCCCATAGGGGGTACAACCCAACTAGGGTTTCCTATTTGTACTCACTTCGTTCATAGTTCACTCATTCTCGTTCACACTTTCTCAGTGGCGAGCGTGGGGCGAAGCCTTGAAAAAGCGGTTTGAGCACATATCCGCGCGCAAACACGCTCGTGCGAGGCTTCGGGAATGGCGTCAGTTGGGAGCTGTTCAAGAATACACCGCGTCGTTCCTAGCACTCTGCGACCAGATCGACGGCATGAACGAAGACGAGAAGATGGACCGCTACGTGGCGGGATTGAAACCGGAAATACAGCTGGAAGTTGAAGTGCGACGCCCAGCGAATTTTTCGGAGCTCGTCGAGTTGGCAGATGCGCTGGACGCGCGGCGGGCATTCGCGAGGACGAGTTTCCGGGAGGGAAATCGTTTTCGAGGCCAGCACCAACACCCTTCCATCAACGGCGTGGACGCGATGGCAGCCCGGGTGTTTACCGGTCGCTGTTTCAACTGCAACCAGCCGGGCCACATGGTGCGGGACTGCCCGGCGCTTAAGAAGGACTTAGCTAACGACGGGAAGCAGTCGGGAAATGGAAAAAGTCAGTAGCTGATGGGCCACCTGCTGACTTGACTGCGTCGCCCAAACACCACCACCCCCACCAGGTAGTAGTGCCGATTTATGCAGTCGACCACTCCTGGCTGAATAAGGGGGGTGAACCTGTTGATCACCCTGTGCTGGTAGAAGGAAGAGTTGGGGATAATAAAATAAAAATATTTGTTGATGGTGGAGCGAGCCACAGTTTGATGGATGTGACAAAAGCGAAGAAGCTGCGATTACAATTGGAGCGGTGCATGCCGGAGATCGACGCGCGATTGGTCGATGGTACACCACTGGCGATTCGAGAACGGGTGCCACACGTTCGAGTCACATGCGGCGAACGTTTCAGTTTCACGACGAAGATGCTGGCGACGACTCTGGATGGCTGCGACATGCTGCTGGGGTGCGATTGGCTGCGAGAGTACAACCCGAGCATCGATTGGCGAACGGGCGACTGTCGCATCAAGTGGGGAGGCGAGTGGCGACGACTACCCCGGTGGAGTGGACCTGAAGCGACTACATCGACGGTCAGCGCCGTGACGATCAAGCGCGCCATGATTCGGGGCGCACAACTCTACGCCGTCCGATGGATCACATCAACGACCGTCGACGATACCCCCGACATCGAAAAGTTGTGCGCTGGCGTACCCGACGACCTGGCGAAACTCATTCGGAAATACCCAACCATTTTTCCAGATGACCTGCCCGCCGGCCTACCACCTCAACGCCCCCAGGACCACAAGATCCAACTCGAACCCGGCGCGCAGCCAACCGTGCGGACACAGTGGCGGCTGACGCAACCTGAGCTGGAGGAACTACGTCGACAACTTGACTACCTGTTGGAGAAAGGCTTCGTCCGGCCCAGCACGTCTCCGTTCGCCGCCCCAATCCTGTTCACACCGAAGAAGGATGGGGGCCTTCGCATGTGCATCGACTACAGGGCGCTGAATCGAGTTACAATTAAATCCCGATACCCGATACCACGCGCCGACGAACTTATCGACCAGCTTCGCGGAGCAAAATTCTTCTCGAAAATCGACTTGCGAGGGGGTTACCACCAGATTCGCGTCGACGAGGCAGATTGCTACAAGACCGCGTTTCGTACTCGGTACGGGAGTTACGAGTACACAGTCATGCCATTCGGTCTGACAAACGCGCCCTCAACCTTCCAGCTGACCATGCACGAGATTTTTCGGCCGCTGTTGGACAAGTGCGTCATAGTGTACTTAGACGATATCCTCGTCTATTCCACCACCCGGGAGCAGCACTTAAAGGACCTCGACCAAGTCTTCACGCTACTGCAGCAAAATCGCCTCATCACCAAGGGATCTAAGTGCGAGTTTTTAAAACCCGAACTGGAGTTCCTCGGCCACATCATCTCCGTCGAAGGCGTTAAAATCGACCCCAAGAAGATCAGCACCATTCAAGAATGGAAGCCGCCGTCTAACTTGCGGGAACTCCAAAGTTTTTTGGGGTTCGTGAATTACGTCCGCCGGTTCATCCCGAACATGGCGGGGGTGACTTCCCCGCTCACGGACCTGTTGAAGAACGGCGCGTTTTTTGAATGGGGGGGAGAACAGCAGGCTGCGTTCGACGCACTCAAACTTTTTCTGACGACCCCGCCGGTTCTTCGGATAGCTGATCCTCACCGTCCGTTCGAGCTCGTCACCGACGCTAGTGACATCGCTGTCGGCGCGGTGCTGTTACAAGACTTCGGCGACGGACTCCAGCCCATCGCCTACGAATCCCGCAAGCTGAACCCGGCCGAGCGAAATTATCCGGTTCATGACAAGGAGTTACTGGCGATCGTCCACGCGTTCAAAACCTGGCGCTGCTATCTAACCGGGGCCGACGTAACAGTACGGACAGACCACAAGTCACTACAGTTCATTCGCGCACAACCGACACTGAACCCACGACAGACCCGTTGGCTCGACTACCTCGAGTCCAATTTTCACTACAGGGTCACCTACAAACGGGGGGCAAATAACATCGCCGACGCCCTGACCCGTCCATCTGCCCACACCGCCGCTGTACTGATTACCCAGACCAACCCACTATTAACCGGCCTATTCACCCACGGCTACCACACTGATCCGTTCTTCACCACCAGCACCAACAGCCCACTCGTCACTAAGCAAGGGCCCTATTATCTAAAATCCGGTACCAATCGGATTTGGGTCCCTGCTTATCGACTACTACGGGAGCTACTGATACAGGAAGCCCACGACTCAAACCTCTCGGGTCACTACGGGGTCGACAAAACTGCAAAAACTCTGGGTCGTCATTATTACTGGCCGGAGTTAACCCACGACGTGCAGCGGTATGTCACCTCGTGCGCCACGTGTCAGCTGATGAAGTCCTCCCGCCTGCGGCCAGCTGGATTGCTGCAACCGCTCGCGCCACCTACCAGACCCTGGCAACAAGTGACGATGGATTTCGTCACAGGATTACCGGCCGGCCCCAGTGGTAACGACGCGATTCTCGTCGTCGTCGATCGCCTGACCAAGATGGCTCACTTCGCCGCATGCAAGACGACGATCACGGCCGAAGAAACTGCCAAATTATTCCTGGCGACTGTCGTCCGCCTCCACGGCATCCCATCGGCGATCATCAGCGACCGAGACCCGCGCTTCACGTCCAACTTCTGGACGAAAACGTGGGACCAGTACGGCACGCGCCTGCACCTATCGACGGCCTACCATCCTCAATCGGACGGCCAGACCGAGCGGACAAATCAGACAATGGAGCAGCTGATACGCACCACGTGCACCGACCCGACATAGTGGGAAGAATCTCTTCCCTTGATTGAGTTCGCGTATAATAATGCTCCTTCGGCGACGACCAACCAGTCACCATTCTTCCTGAATTACGGGCTAGACCCTGTGACCCCGCTGTCGCCACCGATCGAAAATCCGGCGCCAAGGTCGCAGCGTTTCGTCGAGACTTTACGAAAGCATCAGCAAAACGCCGCCGAAGCCATCAACAAAGCCAACCAGATCGCTAAGCGGAATGCTGACCGAAGACGACGAGATCTTCCCCTCGCACCAGGGCAATTAGTCCTGCTCGACACCAGAAATTTGGGGGTGCCCCTCCCAAATAAACTACGCCCAAGATTTTGCGGACCCTTTCGCATTATCCGCATGGTGACACCTGTCACCGCCCAGCTACTACTCCCTGACGACTGGCGAATACACGACTCCTTCCACGTCAGTCTCCTGCGACCGTTCGTCTCCAATACGAGTGATCTCGACCGTCAACGCCTATACCCGACGGTTCGCCCGGTTCCCGAACCCACGACCGAACCGGATAAAATTCTGGCTCACAGGGTCCGGGGACAACGAGCTTCAGCAGCCGTCGATTTCCTGGTCCGATGGGTCGATCGTACGAGCGAAGACGACCTCTGGATCTCGGCCGACACTCTCGGTTCACACCCTGCAGTTCGGGACTATTTACGCCGACGACATGTCCCAGATGTGGGTAGTCTCATCTCAGGAGGGGGGGTGGTGTAAGGAAAATCCTTTTCCTTACTGAGCTCAACCACAACGCGTACGCCCTCGGACTTCGGAAGGCTAGGCTCAGCCTAACTTTTCGGTCCCGAACCACTCTAGCGCAACCAAACCTAAATGCGGGGCTGTTCCGTGGCTTTCGTCACCCGAGTCGCCCCAACCTAGTTGCGAGGTTCTCGGCTAGCGTAATTGTGCCTATAAAGTGCCGTAGCCTTTCATTTGTATTCGGACTCTTGAGTCACGTCCTGTTATTGAATTCCGCGCTACTACTCTGATTCGATACATAACAAATAGTCTCTCCAAATCCTGCTTATTCGGTAATGTACTCTAGCAAATCCACGTGGACAGATATGGACTTCCTGTACCGCATATCCTACAACAATGTTCCCCCCACCCCCAGCTGTGCGAAAAAACCATTTCGCCGGTTGGGTGGATTCGCTCCCCGCAACTGGTTTACTGATCTCTGGTGGATCTTTTCAAGGTGCCCGCACGAACTGCTGCTGACAATGAGGCGTTTGCCCGCACGGTACTGGTCGATGTGCAAGTGACTGGATGAAGATCTTTCAATGTGGCTGATCGGACCGTGCGAACCTGGCCATGTCAGATCGTCACGCTTCTTTGCATTCCCATGAGTTCCGGCTACGTGGCGGTTCCGGCTCACACATGTGCTCTTTTGGCGCGGCAATGTGTCAGCCTGATCCAGTCGAGGAAGTGAACATATTTGTTTCGACCTTGTTCTAACTTCATTTCTCTAATCTCTCTTCTCTCTGTGTCCCTGTCCTCCACCATGGCACAAGCAGTGATTGTTGCTCAAATGGCCGAGTGTGCCGCCGTTCCGCTCGGTGTTCGCGCTCAGTCTCACTCCGTGGCTCGACGACTGAATCTGGCTAGCTCTCTGTCGGTCAAGCGTACCAGGGTTCTTCCATCGTCTAAATCTTTCGGTGTGTCTTTCACAGCTTTCTCAAGGCCCGAGGTCGTCAAGACCGAGTCCGCCTCTCGGCTGAAAATTGTCGCACAAGCCCAGGCAGGTGCTGGCGCTGGTTCCTCTCCGGAGCCCAAGGCAGTGTCAACGACTGAGGCAGAGGACGCGGCTTTCAAGCTTAAGATTGGTGGATATTTTGCACTGTGGTGGACGCTGAACGTTGTTTTCAACATCTACAACAAGAAAGTGCTCAACGCCTTCCCCTTTCCATGGCTATGCTCTACTCTCGCCCTTGCTGCTGGAGTCACGATCATGTTGCTCTCCTGGGCGACGCGTCTGGTGGAATTCCCCGACACAGATCTGGACTTCTGGAAGACATTGTTCCCTGTCAGTATTTCATCATACCTTAGATATCCCTCTTTATCGCTTCCTTCATTATGCCGTTCGCTAAATATCGCCATTGCTTGAAGCACACTCTCATCCTCTTGTGGTCTGATTCACCTCATCAGGTCGCCGTTGCCCACACAATTGGTCACGTAGCTGCAACCGTGAGCATGTCCAAGGTCGCTGTTTCCTTTACTCATATCATTAAGAGCTCAGAGCCTGCCTTCAGCGTTGTCGTCCAGAGCCTGATGGGCGAGCATTTTGCGCTTCCTGTCTACTTGTCGTTGCTCCCGATCATTTTTGGTTGTGGGCTCGCAGCTCTTACCGAGCTAAACTTCAACATGGGAGGTGAGTTTAATATATTTTATCGCCAGTAGCAATCTCTTGCAGGCCAAGTCTGAGTGTCCTTGTTTTGTGTGAGCAGGCTTTATGGGTGCTATGATCTCAAATCTGGCATTCGTTTTCCGGAACATTTTTTCGAAGAAGGGAATGAGCTCTGGCAAGAAGGTTGGAGGTCTCAACTACTACGCCTGCCTGTCAATCATGTCTCTCATCATCCTCATTCCGTTCGCCATCTGGCAAGAGGGCTTTCCGATGTGGACTGCCGGGTGGCAGACTTCTATCGCGGAGGTTGGGCCAAGAATTGGGTGGTAAGTGCTGAGCTAATCAATAATTCCAAACTGAAGTAAAAGCTGTACGCCAAGTGAACTGAACCTCACGTATCTTGGATTACAGGTGGATTGCGGCTCAGAGCGTTTTCTACCACCTGTACAATCAAGTGTCCTACATGTCGCTGGATCAGATCTCACCGTTGACATTCAGCATTGGAAACACGATGAAGCGTGTGTCGGTCATTGTAGCTTCCATCATCATCTTCAGAACTCCAGTCCGATTGATCAATGGCGTTGGAGCGGCAATTGCCATTCTCGGAACGTTCCTGTACTCTCAGGTGAGCCTACTGCGGCTTGGTGATTTGTTTGTTGACTTTTGGCTACGTGCATGGAATTCTGAAAGGTTTTGTTCTCATGGCGATTTCAGGCGATTGAGGCCCAGAAGAAGGCAGCAAAGGCCAAGGCCGCACCTGCATCTTAGTTTTGCTGTTGATCTGTGGGATGTGCAACGACTTCGCCCGTTGATGTACATGCCAGCAGGATGATTTTGTTTGCGCCTTGTTTCCAATCCAATGTATCCAATACGTACCTAGTACATTAGTATTTGTAGCAGTGTTGTTCATCTTGCACGACTGATTAGGTAGTTCTGTTGTCGGTGATTGATCTTACATGAATAATTCGTTTGTCCTGTTGTGGGTAGTTTTCCAGCCATAAAAAAGACGATCTAGCGTTATTTAAGTGCCAGCTAGTAATCACTTGCTCCAAGGAGCAGACAAAATGATACTTCATCCAGTACCACTCCAAAATTATGTGCACAAAGCAATGATTTCCAAGCTGCCAAGTTTACGCCCTCTGAACTACCCTTACATTCAGTATAGTCTTTACATACCACCTTAATGTCCACAGTGTCAGCAGGAGACATTTGGATGTATGACTCCAGCCTGTTTGGCTCACCATCTGCACAGAAACAAATTGTCAGCTGCCAATTTTGCTTGAATAGGGACATACTCAGTGTGACTGAACTACAATGCCGACCTTGAGAACGAATGCATGGGTACTTTGGAGGGCTGGCTAGCCACGTGTTAGTGATAGTGTCACGCATGTGAGACCGATCAGATGCGAAGAAACTGAAATAGTTGGAAGCACAAACTACTCTGTAAAACCTGCACACACCTCCAGTCAAGGTGAAAACAACAAGATCAGGTACCCAAGGCTGAGCAATGAGCATTGAGGCATCAGGTATGAGTAGTAGGAACGAAGGTGGCACAAGTCAAGCACACAGCCAACCTTTGATAAGTATCTTGAAGAGGAAGGAGGGAACTTCTCCCGGCCCACAGCGCCCGCTGCACATACTCCGTTGCTAGACTTGGAAAAGCCAATACCGTGTCAAGGTCCCACACATACCACTTGCGACACCTACTCCCCTCGGATCCTGCCCTGTCACCACCTCCCGCTCCAGTGATGTGCTTCACATGGATAGCGATGACATGGTAGTCCCAAACCACCAAACCCTGCTCCTCCCCACCACCCCCCCCTTCGCTCCCACTATCATCATCAGCACGACACATGCCGGCCTTCTGACACCACATGGGAACCTGCAGGCGGATGGCGCAGGAGAGCGGGTGAGCGGATTCGGTAGTTATTCACCAACAGAAAGGGAACAGAGTGAAGGGACATACGAAAGAGAAATGAAGTGGATGAAATGGAAGTATTATGATCCCAGGTGAACCGTGTACCTTGCGGTCAGGATTGGAAATGAAGACGACGGCCAAATCATCCACGTGAGCGACGCCTCGTGAAACCAGCGAACGACAAAGCAAATAAGCGTTTTCCTCACTGCAATGAATGGCAGGCCAGATAAGGGTGGGGTGGTTGGCACATTAGAGCGATCCATGTGGATAACCACACATGCAGAAGCTTGGATGGCAGCTTCCGCTTCTCGCACCAGTAACAAGAAGTGTAAGTGAAGTCAGATCGACGAGGCATGGACACGGCTTCTCCGTCTACCGGACACGGCGACTCTTGCTCCCCGTGCTGAACAGCAGACTCCATGGGCACCGTACCATTTATTTTTATTCCCGCTATTAATGAACCCTTAACTGTTTGGAGTGGAGAAGAGTAGAGGTAGACGAATCTGAAATTCCGTAACTCGCGGCAGCCTGAATGCTAGATGACATGACTGCGAAACCTGAATGACAGATTGTTTCTTGCCTTGGCAAGAAATGGATGTGATGTGGTGTGCATTCTAGAGCGGTTCTGTATGGTGAAGGTCTGTAACGCCAAGAGTCAGGAGAAAAGGTGAGCATGCAATTTTGATTGGTGAAGGCCACGCCTAAGGGCGTGTCCATTTCGTTCATTTCGGGTTTTTTCGTGCCAACGCACGTATCGAGGTTAAAAAAGACTACCGTACCTAGAAACGAATGCATTGTGAGTGAGGAGTCGAACCATCCTGTAATTTCAGAAGCTCGGACACATTCCCCGCCACACGAATCAACAGTGCTCTGACAACGTTGAAAACGAGGTAACAGTTTCCCTCGTCAATCATAGCTTGAAAATTTTTGTGCAGGCGCAGAGGGCGCTGGCGAGTAGAGCGAACCACTGACGAAATCGTGCAAGCGATACAAGGGAAACGAACTGTAGTGGCCAGGACGCGGTGCTTCAGACGACTCTAGGTACGTGCATGGGGCGTGCCGTCTTGCGAACATAAGACGATTGTGTCCGCTGGACACGTTCCATAAAGGGTTACCACAAAAAATGTGGTAAATGTACGAGCTGGACCCCCCCTAAAGTCACAACCGATGTGCCAGAGTGAGCGAGGCGTGAGTTGGCGACAATGGTGCGCACTTTTGCGATGACGCATCGCCCGTGCGAACTTGCTGTTTCTGACAACCCCTCGCATCAGCTTGGTGATGCCATTCTGGGCCCTGCATACAAGCACACTCGGACCCACCAAGGTGAATGGTAAGGTTGAGAAGAGTTCAGGGCATCCCACAAGTGGTACTATCTGGAACACTATCCCCACCCCAACACAAACATGAGTGCTTTGAAGCTCCAACATTCCTGGTCGCCTGAAACGCCCGCTGAGCCAGGAAACCTGTTTCTGGACATCCGTTTCCAAAAAAAATGCCGAACACGAAATGGACATGTCAACGGAGGAGCCACATGGAGCCGCAAATGCAGCGAGATGGAGGTTCTCAATATTCGGAAGTTTATTTATTTTTACACAGCACGTGTTTGCCACATACCAGGCCACCATCAATAAGCAAGACAGGGGAGTAGCAAGGCGTGAGGTTATTGCTAGCTCATTATTACCAGCTTCCCTACGAGTAGTGGTACTCCACAATGGTCCATGACTTGCCGAGAGAAATGATGAGGCTTGGAGAAGACCAAGTGATGGTGAGACTGCATGTGGATTAGTAACAGAATATTCAGTGTTATGGTAACATCTCATGTAATGTCGCTACTTGTTCCATGGCATGCGCAATGTACTTTCGAAAGCCATATATCGAAACATGATCAGCGAGCTAACAGAAAAAGTCTACTAGGCAACCTTACAACCCATTCTCGACGCGGGACGGAGGCACATGCATGTTGTTAAGTTATTTTATATATGGTCAGGGAAAGAGAGGAAGGGGATGAACGATTGCCTGCAATACAGTTGGGGAGCTGCTAGCCATCCAACCAGCCTCAGCCGCTGAAATTAAACAGAGAACTTCCACTCCTTCTCCAGCAACAATGCTGGGCGCCTCCCACCATGCTTGCAGTGGAAGACGGCAGTGACCTGCAAGCATCAAGGGGACAAATCGGTTAGAAATAATCAGGACAACATCAACATCACTGGCGATATTGTATGGCCGCTTACCTTGAAAGGACCACCTTCATCGGTGTGCTTGTGGTACTCGACTTCAGCCCGCTCCCTGTGGTGCCAGTATGACACCTCCAGGTGATCCCGTTTCAACTTCTGCTTGATCTGAAATCCCAAGGCCCATTTCCCCTCGCCGAAGTCGTACAGTGGCTTAAAGATGGTGTCCTTGTACCTGTGCTCTAATCGCACCAAAGGACCATTCTTGGCAAAATTGTGTTTCACAACCGCCTTAGTGTCATCGGTCAGTGCGGTGTTTGCCTCCAGCGTCGTCACACCAGGGCCGTGGTGGTGGACGAAGGTAAGATGCACGAACTTATCGGCCACTTTCGTGTGCCCGTGGAATTGGAACCTTGTGGACTGCAGAGCGAGGAGTAGGGAAAGAAGGATTTTAGCTCATACCCTGACATCAAAAGCTGAAAGGACACTCTTTTATGGGCTGCATGGGTTCAAGCCTACCTTCTTGTGGAAATGATGCTCCAAAATGAAATGACCAGGCTTTTCCACGGCGACTTCTGTATCCTCCTTGATACTTCCAACATCCCTCAAGGTCTTGTCCGTCAATGAAAGCTTCAGCTTCAAATCTTCCAGCCAAACGCCTACAGTGGCCTGAAACTTTTCAGTCTCAGAATTATACTTCGACTTGAGAGTGAGCTTCGTCATGGCGGAAACCAAGGAACACGACTACTAGGCAGCTGGATGAATGGACAGGAATGTGGAAGTCAAGAGGGATGAAAATGCTTCAGAATGGGCGCTTCTGAGGGAAATTTGGCATTTTGACGTCGTGGAATGGCACAGCATGTTGTGCTTGGAGGGGAAAGTCCTTGCCAGACCTGCCCGTTTACATGGGAGTTACCGACGTAAGTTATTTTTATCGAAGAGTTCATTATGAAAATGCACAGCAGGAAGTCAAAACTTTGTGAAGTGACTTGCTGTAAATCTGATGGTGCCACACTTTCACAAGTTCGGGGTCAGATCTAACCATAACAAACGGTAACCAGACAGGCACGGATGACGTGGATCCTGGAGTGTCAGCATGATGGGCATGACCTGGAAACTGGTTCTACTCCACGTGGAAGCATTAGTTTCCTTCACAGAGCCTCGTCAGAGCTGACGTGCTGATGAGGCCACAATCCACTCCAGCCAATCTCAAGGCCCAGCAGTAATTTTTGTGATTCTCTCCGCTGCATCTCTGTACTTTTTGCAAACAGACTCGGTATTGTAGTAAGAGTGCCAGCATGTACCTTCCATATGCGATTACTACCTTGTTTGGGCAAATTACGTGAAAATATTATATTTGAAGGGTTTAGGACCGTGGAGGTTTTCACCAGAAGGGTTTGTGCCTCCAAACATAGCTCTTCATTTTCCGTGTCCAACTGTTCTCCATTGTCACCCCGTTTTACGTCAGCAAACCTCGTTTCCGCACTTATGGCGCGGAAGAAAGGCGCCAAGCGCGGGGACGATAACGAGGACGAGGCATCTGCAGAAGCCCCGGCCGTAGAGCAGGAAACCAAGAAGGGCGGTAAGGCCGCCCGGAAGAACCGCAAAGGGAGGGCCGGAGACGATGACGACTACGAGCCTCCGCCCGATGACGTGGATGATGAACCAGTCTCGTCAGTCAAAAGCAAGGGTAAGGGCAAGAGTGGTGCGTCCGGGTTCGCTGCGCTGATGGACGCAGAGAATGGCGGGACGGCGGAGGATGCGGAGGAGGACGAGGAGGAGGAGGAGAGGGCGAGGGGTAGGCGAGGCAACGGAGGGAAGAAAGCAGGACAGGACGAGGATGACGAGGAGGAGGCGCGGGGAGGCGGGGGCGGGGGAGGGAAGAAGGGCGGAAAGAAGGGCAAGAAAGGTAAGAATCGTCGCGACGACTTCGACGACGATTTCGCAGACCCCGTTGCGGACGCAGCGGCGGAAGAGAACGGCAAACCCGTCGCCGCTAAACCCGAGGAGGGGGACAGCGATGGGACAGTTGGGCCGGGGTATTTGGTGGTGGGGGAGATCAAATCGGCGCGCAAGGTGAAGAAGGCCGACAAGCTCAAGGCGTGCCTCGTCGACATCGGCGGCGCGTCGCCCATTCCGATCGTGTGCGGCGGGACCAACGTGCGCGCGGGGCTGCGCGTGATCGTGTGCCCCGCGGGGTGCGCCGTGCCGTCGACGGGCGCGGCGGTGAAGAAGGCGAGCATCAAGGGCGAGGAGAGCCTCGGGATGATCTGCTCGCGCGCCGAAATGGGGTGGGCGGACGCCGCCACCGAGGTGGTCGAGCTGGACGTGGGCGCGTTCAACGTGGGGGATCGGGCGCCGCTGGAAGATCTCAATGTAGGTGCTGGTGACGTGGCCGAGGAGGCGGATGACGTGGCAATGGCGTTCACGGGGAAGAAGAAGGGGAAGAAGGGGAAGGGGGGGAAGGGGAAGAAAGTGGAGGAGGAAGAGGAGGACGAGGAGTCAGTGGTGACGAGCATTCCGCGCGACGAGGAGGAGGCGGAGGAGGATTCGATGGCTATGGCGTTCGCGGGTAAGAAAAAGAACAAGAAGAAGGATAAGAAGGGACGGAAGCAGCAGCAGGAGGAGGACGACGAGGAGGAGGAGGAGGCGAGGGAAGAAGTGGCGGTGGAGGAGGAGGAAGAGGAGGAGGTGGTGTCGAGTAAGAAGGCGAGTTCCGCTCTGCAGCTGCTGGCGGCGCTGGGCGACGAGGGGGGTGAGGAGGACGAGGAGGAGAAGGAGGAGGAGGAGGAGAAGGAGAAGGAGGAGGAGGAGGATGAGATGGCTGTGGCGTTCAGCGGTAAGAAGAAGGCGAAGAAGGGCAAGAAGAAAATGACCTCCGCGCAGCTCGACGCGCTCATGGCGGAGGCCGACGGCGACGCGGCGGAGGCGGGGGCGCAGGAGGCGGAGGAGGCGGAGGAGCGCAAGGAGGAGGAAGGGGGGAAGGGGAAGAAGGGGGGGAAGGCGGCGGCAGGGGAGGACGACATTGACGCGCTGCTCAAGGAGCTCGAGGCGCCCAAGGCGGGGGGCGGGGGGGGCAAGAAGAAGAAGAAGGAGAAGGAGGGGAAGAAGAAGAGTGGGCGCACGGCGGAGGAGGAGGCGGAGCTCGACCGCATCCTCGCGGAGCTCGACGCGCCCGCAGCCCCGCCCGCGGGAGGGCAGGCGCCCGCCGCCGATGGGAAGGCGGACAGCGCTGCTGCTGAGGCGGAGGCGGGCAAGGCAGACGCCGCCGCTGCTGGTGATGCTGCTGCGGAGGGGGAGGGGGAGGAGGAGGAGGCAGGGGGGGGCGGTGGAGGGGCGGAGTCAGCTGCAGCGAAGAAGAAGAAGAAAAAGAAGGAGAAGGAGAAGGCCGCCAAGGCCGCCGCGGCAGCCGCCGCCGCTGCTGCTGCTGCAGGCGCGAAGGAGGAGGAGGCGGCGGCGGAGGGCGCGGGGAAGGCGGTTGACCTGAAGAAGCTGCCGAAGCACGTGCGCGAGATGCAGGAGCGGCTGGCGCGGCTGAAAGAGGCGGAGGAGAAGCGCAAGCGCGAGGAGGAGGAGCGCGAGCGCAAGGAGAGGGAAGAGGAGGAGCGACTGGCTGAGCTGGAGAGGCAACGCGAGGAGGCGAAGCAGCGGCGCAAGCAGAAGGAGAAGGAGAAGAAGGAGCAGCTTAAGAAGGAGGGCAAGCTGCTGACGGGCAGGCAGAAGGAGGAGGCGAAGCGGTTGGCCGCCATGCGCGAACAGCTGCTCGCGCGCACTGGGGGCGCCGAGGGCGACGAGGGCGCTGGGGCGGGCGCGGGGAAGAAGCGCGGTGGCGTGTTTGACCGGCGGAAGAAGGGGAAGCAGCAGCAGCAGAAGCAGGAGGCGGGTGGGAAGGAGGAGGGGAAGGAGGACGCGGAGAAGGGTGGCGAGGAGGAGGCGAAGGTGGAGGAGGGTGCGGATGGGAGTGTGGTGGAAGGTGTTAGTGAGGCTGTAGAGAAAGTGGAGGAAGCAGCAAATGAAGAAGAGAAGGAGGAGAAAGAAGAGGAGAAGAAGGCGGAGGTGAAGGAAGAGAAGGAGGAGGTGAAGGAGGAAGAGGAAGAGGAAGAGGAGGAGGAGGACTGGGATGCAAAGAGCTGGGATGCGGAGGCAGTGAAGATACCCAAGCTTAAGGGCGCGTTCGATGAGGAGGAAGAGGAGGAGGAGGAGCAGCAGGTTAGTGCTGCTGCTGCTGCTGCTAAACCTGCTGCCAAGGCCAAGCCGGCAGACGGGGCTTCCAAGAAGGCTGCTGCTGCTTCCAAGGCGAAGGGTAAAGCGGCAGGCGGCAAGGGGAAAGTGGAGGAGGAGAGTGAGGATGAGGAGGATAGCGAGGAGGAGGACGATGATGATGATGATGAGGAGAGTGACGAGGAGGAAGGCGAGGAGGCGCGGAGGATGGAGGCGAGGGAGCGGCGCGAGCAGCGGAAGCAGGAGGCGATGAAGGCACGCAGCGCGGAGGACCTGCGGTCGCCCATCTGCTGCATCCTGGGGCACGTGGACACCGGCAAGACCAAGCTGCTCGACTGCATCCGCCGCACCAACGTGCAGGAGGGCGAGGCGGGCGGCATCACGCAGCAGATCGGCGCCACCTACTTCCCCATGGCCAACATCCGCGAGCGCACACGCGAGCTCAAGGCCGACGCCAATCTGCGCGTGCCGGGGCTGCTGGTCATCGACACGCCCGGCCACGAGTCGTTCACCAACCTGCGTGCGCGCGGGTCCGGGCTTTGTGACATTGCGATCCTGGTGGTGGACCTGATGCACGGGCTGGAGCCGCAGACCATCGAGTCGCTCAACCTGCTCAAGATGAGGAAGACGCCCTTCGTCGTTGCCATGAACAAGGTGCGCGTGAGGGGGGGATGGGAGGGATGTGGGGTGGATGGGTTGGCAGACTCGTGCTGCCATGTGACGTGCTGTTTCAGAGCCTGCTTGTGTGTCTGTGCATGCCATGCCATGCTATGGCCTCAGGCCTTATGATGGGTCTCGTGCCGTAACATAACATCCCCTGCGCATTATGCCATGCACATCTTATCCACCCCCGTGCGCCAGGTGGACCGCATATACGGGTGGAACGCGACGCCCAATGCGCCCATCCGCGCGGCGCTGAAGAAGCAGACGAGAGACGCCATCCTCGAGTTCGACCGCCGCACCGACCAGGTGCGTGCCTGAGAGGGAGGCAGGGGGGCAGGGGAGGAGGGGGGGGGGGCAGAGGGGGTGGGGTGCAGTGGGGACAGGGGGCAGGGGGGTGGGGTTGGCGGGGAGTGCATGCATGGGCAGAGGGATGGAGCAGAATGCTATGAGGGGTCGTTCCTCGCTCGCTGCTGACACTCGCCTCCAATCTGCCGTCTCCTCATTCATTGCAACCCCTCGTGTCTTCCCTTCTCCCCGCCATCATGTCTGTGCGTGGCTGGCAGGTGATGCTGGAGCTGAAGGAGCAGGGGCTGAACGCGGCGCTGTACTACAAGAACCCCGACATCCGCAAGTTCATCTCCATCGTCCCCACCTCCGCCATCAGGCACGCTCTCCTCACGCCCCCGCCCTCATACACCCCTAGTAGCCACCAAAACACACACCGGCGCTCACTCTGCCACCCACTTTCTCCCGGGCCCCACTCTTAATGGCCGCTCCCCCATGCCACATTCCCCTTCCATCAACCGCCCACTCTCTCATGCCCCCTCCCCCCCCACCTCCCCTCCCGGCAGTGGCGAGGGCGTACCGGACCTGCTGCTGCTGCTGGTGCAGCTGACGCAGAAGCTGATGGAGGAGCAGCTCATGTACGTGGCGAGCGTGCAGTGCACCGTGCTGGAGGTCAAGGTCATCGAGGGCCTCGGCACCACCATCGACGTCGTGCTCGTCAACGGCGTGCTGCACGAAGGGGACCAGATTGTCGTGTGCGGCCTGCAGGTGAGGGGTGGCTGCCGGTGGGTGAGGGAGAGTGGGCGCTGTGGGTGGGTGAAGGTCATGGAGGGGCGTCCATGGTGCTGTGCTGCATGAGGGCGACCAGATCGTTCTGTGCGGCCTGCAGATGCGGGGGAGGAGGGTGAGAGGGCGTTGACAAGGCATATGGCTCTTGTGCTCTGGTTGGACCTCGCGCCTTGGCGTGAGGCAAAGAGGGGAAAGGCCACAAGGCAGGCAGAAGGAGGGAAGTGCCCGTGTCTGGTCTGTATATGGTCTGGTTCTTTCTACATGTGATGATAGTTCACCTTCCACTGTGTGCAAGCGTGTGTTGCGGTGTGCGTGCCCGTGTCATTGTGCTGCAGGGTCCCATAGTGACAACCATCAGAGCGCTGCTGACGCCACACCCCATGAAGGAGCTGCGAGTCAAGGTCAGTCACCCTTTTCGTCCAGTCTGTGCCTTCACCTCCATATCATCGCTCCCTCCATCTTGCTCTTGCTCCTTCCCCGGTAGATGTGGCAGGCTCATCTCCCTTCTGCTGCTTGCTCCACCTGTTTGCCTACACTGCTTCCTTGCACCACACACATTCCTGCTCCATGCTCAATTTCTCCTCAACTCCAACCCGTTCCTCCCGTTCATTCTCTCCTTGTCGCTCCTCCTCGCTCTATAACTCTCTCTCCGCCTTCCTCCCCCATCCAGGGCTCGTACATGCACCACAAGGAGCTGCGGGCAGCGCAGGGCATCAAGATCACGGCGCAGGGGCTGGAGCACGCCGTGGCGGGCACGCAGCTGTACGTGGTGGGACCAGACGACGACGTGGACGAGCTGAGAGAGGAGGCCATGGCGGACGTCAAGGGCGTGCTGTCGCGCGTCGACAAGAGCGGAGAGGGCGTGAGCGTGCAGGCGAGCACGCTGGGGTCGCTGGAGGCGCTGCTGGAGTTCCTCAAGAGCCCTGCCGTGAAGATCCCCGTGTCTGGCATTGCCATTGGGCCGGTGCACAAGAAGGACGTGATGAGAGCGAGTGTGATGCTGGAGAGGAAGAAGAAGGAGTATGCCGTCATCCTCGCCTTCGACGTCAAGGTGCGTCATCCTCGCCTTCGACGTCAAGGTGCGTCATCCTCGCCTTCGACGTCAAGGTGCGTCATCCTCGCCTTCGACGTCAAGGTGCGTCATCCTCGCCTTCGACGTCAAGGTGCGTCATCCTCGCCTTCGACGTCAAGGTGCGTCATCCTCGCCTTCGACGTCAAGGTGCGTCATCCTCGCCTTCGACGTCAAGGTGCGTCATCCTCGCCTTCGACGTCAAGGTGCGTCATCCTCGCCTTCGACGTCAAGGTGCGTCATCCTCGCCTTCGACGTCAAGGTGCGTCATCCTCGCCTTCGACGTCAAGGTGCGTCATCCTCGCCTTCGACGTCAAGGTGCGTCATCCTCGCCTTCGACGTCAAGGTGCGTCATCCTCGCCTTCGACGTCAAGGTGCGTCATCCTCGCCTTCGACGTCAAGGTGCGTCATCCTCGCCTTCGACGTCAAGGTGCGTCATCCTCGCCTTCGACGTCAAGGTGCGTCATCCTCGCCTTCGACGTCAAGGTGCGTCATCCTCGCCTTCGACGTCAAGGTGCGTCATCCTCGCCTTCGACGTCAAGGTGCGTCATCCTCGCCTTCGACGTCAAGGTGCGTCATCCTCGCCTTCGACGTCAAGGTGCGTCATCCTCGCCTTCGACGTCAAGGTGCGTCATCCTCGCCTTCGACGTCAAGGTGCGTCATCCTCGCCTGCGACGTCAAGGTGCGTCATCCTCGCCTTCGACGTCAAGGTGCGTCATCCTCGCCTGCGACGTCAAGGTGCGTCATCCTCGCCTTCGACGTCAAGGTGCGTCATCCTCGCCTTCGACGTCAAGGTGCGTCATCCTCGCCTTCGACGTCAAGGTGCGTCATCCTCGCCTTCGACGTCAAGGTGCGTCATCCTCGCCTTCGACGTCAAGGTGCGTCATCCTCGCCTTCGACGTCAAGGTGCGTCATCCTCGCCTTCGACGTCAAGGTGCGCGCGCTGCCCTGCACACAGCAAGCGCCACCGCTGACGTTCATTGGCCTTACTGCCTTCCCCGCTGTTACTCACAGTCCTTTCAACTTTTGAGACGTCTCAAAAGCCGCTGTTACTCACAGTCCTTTCATGCCACCTTGCTCTCTTCATCCAATTCCCCTTCTCTTACCCTGGCTGCACGTGTGCTTGGCAGGTATCAACGGAGGCGAAGGAGATGGCGGAGGAGCTGGGAGTGCGCATATTCACAGCAGACATCATCTACCACCTGTTCGACCAGTTCACCGCTTACATGGCGGGCGTCAAGGACGAGAAGCGCGCGGAGGCGGCGGAGGAGGCGGTGTTCCCGGTGGTGCTCAAGATCATGCCCAATTGCATCTTCAACAAGAAGGACCCCATCGTGCTTGGCGTTGAGGTGCTGGACGGCATTGCCAAGGTGAGGAGCGGTGCTGGACGGCATTGCCAAGGTGAGGAGCAATGCTGGACGGCATTGCCAAGGTGAGGAGTGGTGCTGGACGGCATTGCCAAGGTGAGGAGAGGTGCTGGACGGCATTGCCAAGGTGAGAGAAGGGAGGGAAGGGGGGGAGCGTGGGGGTCCATGAGGGAGTTGGGGTGCAAGCGGTGGGTAGTCATGAAAGAATGTGCTTGTCATGCTGGGGGGCAACATGCTGAAACACATCCCCCCCTTGTTTCCCGCTGTGGCAGGTGGGCACGCCCATATGTGTGCCGGGGCGGGAGTTCATAGACATAGGCAAGATAGCATCCATGGAGAAGGACCACAAGATGGTTGAAACCGCCAAGAAGGGCCAGGCCGTCGCCATGAAGGTAAGCCGCTCGCATGCACCTACCCTCACACCCTCCCGTGTCTGCTCTCTTGCATGCCTTCTCGATTGGCCTGCCCTCTTTCTCTCTCCCTCGCCCTTTGCACCATCTCTGCCTCTGCCTGTGTTGCCCTGCTTCACAGCGCTCCCCACTGTTGGCTTGCCCTCACCTGCCTGTTTGTGTGCACGTGTGGGCATGAGGGGGTCAGATCGTGGGGGTGAACGCGGAGGAGATTCAGAAGTCGTACGGGCGGCACTTTGACAGCGATGATGAGCTCGTCAGCCGCATCACGCGCAACTCCATCGACCTCCTCAAAGAAAACTACCGCGTATGCCCCCCCCGCTCCCCTCACCTCCACTGCCACTCTTCGCCTTTGCGACAATGTCCCTCCCACTCCACCTTGTTTTCTCTTGTCAGACCTGCTCAATTTTTGTCATCCTGCCTCCCCATCTATCATCTTCTGTTGCCTCATCTTCTGTTGTTCGAATCTCTTCGCATTCTCTTGCCATCCTCTCTCCCCTCTGCCCCCCCCGTGGCATGGACCAGGACGACTTGAGTCGAGAGGATTGGATCCTGGTGGTGAAGCTCAAGAAGCTCTTCGACATTCCCTAGGCAATGGCACGCGTCCTGCTGCAATGATTCTTCCCTTGGTGCACTAAGCCTGAAGAAGATAACTCTGGAAAAATGGTGTTAGATTGCAACCCTGTGTACACTCCCAACAGTCAATCCAATCATTTTTTCTGCAGAAACAATGGCTTGAAAACACGCTAGAATGCCCACACAAGCTGGTGATGACAACAAACATCACGGAATGGAACGCTAACTCCAAATCCCGCTTGCAGAAGTCACATGAGAAGTAGCATGAGAGCACTGAGCATGAACGCATTTGCAATGAAATAAACAAACACCCGCATCGCATGAGCACATACGCACACACATGGGCATGCCATGAATGCAAATAGATGTGCACCCCTTGCAGGTGCAGGAGATTACGGTACTACGGTATGCCCGTTTGTTGTCAACATCCCATATTGATGCACTCCCCTCTCCGTTCCTCTGCTTGTTGGTCGCAGTACAACCATGGTTTATGTCATGTGAAAAAACAATAAATTCACTAAAACGTGTACAGCTAGTTAGAATTGTCTCTAGGATCCTAGTATATGCATAGTATGGTGTCGTTTTTCCCTAGCAGCATGCTGCACCGCGTGGCTGACAGCAGGAGGCAAACTAGGTTCCTCTTCTTCTCCATGCCGCCACGCCTCGGCTTATTCGCTGTTGAGTCGCTGCACGCCGCGCTCTTTAGGGCTTGAAGGCGGCCTGGGCGGATTCCGCCTTGGTTTGCGCAGACTTGAGCAGGCCGAGCGTGGCCTTATCGGTAGCGGGTTTGAGCATAACGGAGACCCCTTTGATGGTGGAGATGGCGTTGGTGATCTGCCCCGGTACCAGCGTGCGCTGCCCCTGGTCGATCAGAATGCCCGCATTGCGCAGCGCCTGCGCCGTGTCGGTCAAGCTCTTCTTGTAGGTCTTCACGGTCAACACGGCGTTCGCCTCGTCCACCAACTTCGCCGCCGCCGCCAGGTCCGCCTTCACGGCCGTGTCCGCCGCGCTCACCTTCTTCGGCGGCACCTTCGCGCCCACCGGGGGGACCTGGGGCGTCTTAGGGGACTTTTTGGACTTGGGGGCTGGCGAAGCGGGGGGAGAAGCGCCGACAGGCGTCTTTGGGGTCTTGGGGGACTTGGGGGTCTTGGGGGACTTGGGGGTGGTGGTGTCGGGGGACGGGGAGGGCGGGGGCGGCGGGGATGGCGTGGGCTCGGGGGAAGCAGGGGGCGACTTGGAGCTCTTAGCTTTCTTGGCCGCCTTCTCCGCTTCCTTCTTGGCCTTCTCCTCCTCCTTCTTCTTCTTCTTCGCCTCCTTCTTCGCCTTGTCCTCGTCGTCGTCGTCGTCCAACACGCGCCGCGTCGACGATGCTAACGACGACACAGACGCGCCTGAGTCGGTTAAATCGCCTGGAGAAGGGAAAGGAGAGAAAACGTCATATGATTGCGATGATTTTGTGAAGAAAATGAGCTTTACTGCAGGGACCGTGGACAGGGAGGCGGAAAACGGTTATTTTTTGGGAAAGGACTTTACCTGCATAGCTAACGACGTCAGAGGAGGAGAATCCCACGAGAGAAATGTCAGCAGAGACATTGACGAAGTCTGAAGTCACGAGGAGAGCGAGGAGCGGGAGCGTGCAGGCAAGGGCAAGAGTTCTTGAGATCGCCATTCCGGAGGCTAAAGGTAGTTGCTTTGAGTGATTTGAGTAAATGGATTTTGAGTGAGCGAGGGGCGAATTGAATGAATGTTGGATGAACGGGGTCAAATTTATGTGCTTCAGAAATGCCTTGATCGCATTTGGGTTGTTTCTGGCTGTTGTGTGGAGGCGCCATCCAAAAAAGTTGCGCGAAATCTTCGCAGCACCCTGGCGTCGCACGTCACGGCGGCCAGCTTTGGCTGGGCGAAGGCGAAATGACGGGCGAGCTGGGCAGGTGCTCCGAACGTGGCCAGCGGGATAAATTTCGCAAGGGGATGGCGAAATGGGATGGGAGGAAGATCAGCCCGTTTGCTTTTGTGGATGTTTCGCACAAAAAAGAAATCGGTGGTCAGCGCAGTCAACTGGAATACGCTTACCGCCAACTTCGTTTGAAACGAAATCTATGGACGCGGTTCTCTTGGAACGTTTGCGTGGGCAACGCAGATGGGGAAATTGACAGCAGCAAACGGTTCAATACAAACTTCCAGGGGGGTTACCTTCAGGCTGAATAAGATGAAGGCTATTTGGTGGAATAAATATAGCAGCCGACTATGTTTGTTTCTAACTAGCATGTGAACCTTCAGGTCTAAACTCCACTCAGTGTGCATGTCCATCATAATCAGACATCCTCCTCATTGGAGTCCGTGAGGCGCTTCCCTTCAGTGACACCACCATCATCCCCGTCCATGTCGTCCATCTCATCCTCCACCGCATTCATCTCCTGCTCCACCAGCCGCGAATACATGGCATGCAGCTTGCGGCTCTTGAGCCACGTCATCAGCGCCATCACGCCAAACACCACGATCATCACGCCTGACACAGCGAATACCACAATGTACTGCCAGCTCAGCTTATCCGATGGCACATACTTGATCTTGTACGTGCACTCGCCAGCGACCTCATCAGCCGGCAGTTGAACGGAGCCTGGGAGCGACTCGTTGCAGAGCATGGGCTGGTGCCACAGGTAGGTGACGTTGTGCTTGCCGTCGTCATCGGCACACTCGCCCTCCAAGCGGTCGTAGTCGTCCGCCGTGCACGGCTCACACATCACATCGTCCGGCAGGGGCGTCATAGGGTTCGGCTGACACACCTGGAGAGGCACGTGGACGCAGAGAGAGAGAGAGAGAGAGAGAGAGAGAGAGAGAGAGAGAGAGAGAGAGAGAGAGAGAGAGAGAGAGAGAGAGAGAGAGAGAGAGAGAGAGAGAGGGCAGATGGGTGGCGGATGAGAGGGTTGCGCATGGGTACAGGGACAGCAAAGGGAGCCATAATTGTACTAGAGTGCCTGTACTCACCCGAGGGTGCCTGTACTCACCCGAGGGTGCCTGTACTCACCCGAGGGTGCCTGTACTCACCCGAGGGTGCCTGTACTCACCCGAGGGTGCCTGTACTCACCCGAGGGTGCCTGTACTCACCCGAGGGTGCCTGTACTCACCCGAGGGTGCCTGTACTCACCCGAGGGTGCCTGTACTCACCCGAGGGTGCCTGTACTCACCCGAGGGTGCCTGTACTCACCCGAGGGTGCCTGTACTTGTACGTGACGCGCTTGTTCTCGTTGCACCCAGCGGCCTCCACCTTGACAATGTCTTGCTCGGAGCACAGCGGGCAGGCGAAGAGCGAGTACCACACAAGGTTGAACTCGCATGCCGTGGTCTCCACGGGCTCCACCGTGCCCCCGCGCTGCGCCCAGTCTGGGTACGCCCGCTGCGGGTCAAACGCCGCCATGCGCCCCCCACTCGTCCACTGCTCCGGCTGCCCGTGCCCTGCCATGCCACGCACGGGGGGGAGCAGGCGGACACAAGAAAGAGGTGGGAGAGCTTGGGGATGTAGGCGTGCAAGGCTGATAACGCAGGGGCAATGGGGAAAAGCGGGGAGGGGTTGGTGATGGGAGGGACGACATGCAGTGGTTGGTGATGGGAGGGACGACATGCAGTGGTTGGTGATGGGAGGGACGACATGCAGTGGTTCGTCATGGGAGGGACGACATGCAGTGGTTGGTGATGGGAGGGACGACATGCAGTGGTTCGTCATGGGAGGGACGACATGCAGTGGTTCGTGATGGGAGGGACGACATGCAGTGGTTCGTCATGGGAGGGACGACATGCAGTGGTTCGTGATGGGAGGGACGACATGCAGTGGTTCGTGATGGGAGGGACGACATGCAGTGGTTCGTGATGGGAGGGACGATATGCAGTGGTTGGAATCCACGCAGCAGAAAGTAGGAGGGCGCGGGGCGTGGGTTACGAGGCGTGGGGTGCGGGGCATGGAGTGTTACCAGCGGCGGGGTCACAAATGAAGGTGATGTTGGTCTGGCGGGGCAGCTGGGTCTCAGGGCAGTCGTCCCCCTTGAGCATCATCACGAACCCACGTGTGCGCAGCTCACTGGCCACCACATCCAGCGACTCTATCGCCAGCGACGCCCCCAGGTTGTGCCCCGGCCGCAGCGCACCCTCCACGTCCTCTGCAGGGTCCACCTTGCACGCATACGTGTTGAGTGCGTTCCCTCCGTAGTCATAGCACGTGTCGTTGGTTCGATCGCGGTCGCACATGCTGATGAAGTATGACGCCTGCTGCGTGCCGTTCTTGGTCGTTGCATCGTTAGATGCCACCCCAAACATCACCCCCGGGTGCATCCGTGCCAGAGGCGACAGGTCGAAGAACAGCCGCCCGCCGCCCGCAGTGGCGCCCGTCAGCCCGCCGCCTGCCACCACCATGCCGCCGCCCTCCGCCAGCGTCTCGTTCCAAAACTGCTCCTCCTGCTGCATCTCGCCCGTGGGGCCGGTGGGGGCGGGCGCGGCGGGGGAGGTGAAGGGGTTGAAGGAGGAGGCGGGGGGAGGCGGAGCGTCGGCGGAGGCGTTGTAGGCGACGGGGACGCGCACAGCGAAGGTGCAGAAGGAGGAGGGCACGCGTGCATCGCCCAGGAAGCACTCACTGCTGCCCGGCAGTGACGTGGTGCCCGCGCCACACCGCTCACACGCCCATTGCGCTCCCTGCCAGGCCAGCATGCCATGCCATGCCATGCCATGCCATGCCATGCCATGCCATGCCGTGCCATGCCATGCAGTGCAGCAGCAAAGCAATCAGGAGGGATGATCGTGGTGGAGGTGAGTTGAGTGGGCATCTGGCAGATACCATTGGGGACGGCATGCCTGCGTAGCAATAAAATAAACATGGCATTATGCACACACCTCCCTGAACCCATCCCCGTGTGCTCATCCCCAACCACACAATCCCAAACACACAATCCCAAACACACAATCCCAAACACACAATCCCAAACACACCATCCCAAACACACCATCCCAAACACACCATCCCAAACACACCATCCCAAACACACAATCCCAAACACACCATCCCAAACACACAATCCCAAACACACAATCCCAAACACACAATCCCAAACACACAATCCCAAACACACAATCCCAATCACACAATCCCAAACACACCATCCCAATCACACAATCCCAATCACACAATCCCAAACACACAATCCCAAACACACAATCTCAAACACACAATCCCAAACACACAATCCCAAATACACAATCCCAATCACACAATCCCAAACACACAATCCCAATCACACAATCCCAAACACACATCCGCAGCCACACATGCGCAACCACACATGCGCAGCCACACATGCGCAACCACACATGCGCAATCACACACCCCCGTGTGCCCAAGAAGCGGTTCATGAGCAGAGGGTGCGAGCAGAGGAATGGGCGGGGCACCTCGGGGAAGGGGTTGAAAGTGTTGGCGGGGCACGGCGTGCAGTGGCCCTCGCCGCCCTCACTGAACGTGCCAGGAGGGCAAGGAGTCCACGTCTGCCCGTCCGCACTGATCTGCATCCCCGGCGGCACCCTCCTGCACCGCTCTGCACCACCCCGCGCAACACCCTCCACCTGTTAGGGAGGAGGGGCGAGAAGTGGGAGCGGGGGAAACGAGAGGGGGAGGAGGGAGGTAAAGCGGCTAGGGGCGTTGCAAGAGTGAGGAGGAGGGAGGAAGATGGAGCGTTGAGAGCTGTGGTGAGTGTGTGTGTGTGTGAGAGAGAGAGAGTTTGCTACCCTGGAGGGCTAGATAGGGACGGGGATAGTTAGTCTGATATAGGTCATGTTGGCTCTACTTGCTCTTGACTGTACTACACGTTCTATATCAATGAAAGGACCATTCGAGAGAGTGGGGTGACAGACTGACCTCGATGTCATAGATGATGGCGGAGTCACGAGTCTTGCGCGTGGCAGCACGCTCGTCATTGAGCTTCTCCCACACCCACATGAGCGTGTGGTTACCAGGCGCCAGCTCCCACATGCCACTGATGGCCGTCTGGTTCTCCCCCCCTGCCTTGCGCTCCTGCCCTGGAGTCCCCTCCCACTCCTCGCGTTGTTGCTGCAAGCAGCAGCAGCCCCATGGAGAGTTGAGAGGGTGAAAGGAAAAGAGGGAAAGAGGGAGGGCATAGTGAAGGTTGGGGGTGAGAGGGGAAGAGGGGAGATGGAGGAACGTGTGAGACCAGATGGCCTTACTGATTCACGCTTCATGCGATGCCAATGAATCCCCCATTCAAAGGAAAACGCACCTCCACAAAGTGAACGCAGTGGACTTACCTCGACAAAGTCCATGAGGTCATGATCGACAAAGAAGAAGAAGCCGCGGCCGGGGTCCCCTGGGGCGATGTCCACCGAGTAGTTGAACATGACGTACCCCGTCACCGCCACGTCCACGTCCAGCGCCAGCCAGATCTGTGCATCCGTCGCACCATGCCCCGGTGACGCATGGCAACGGGCCAAGGGGCAAGTGGCGAGGGGGGAAAGACGGGGGGGTAGAGGTAGTTGAACATGACGTACCCCGTCACTGCCACGTGCACATCCAGTGCCAGCCAGATGTGTGCATTCATGCCATGCCATGCACCGGTCGAGCAAGAGTGGGCGAAGGACGGGAATGAGTGAGAGGCGAACAAGCGAGGGGGAAGGGGCGAGGGGGGAAGAGACGAGGGTGAAAGGAGAGGTGAAGGGCAGGGGGAGGTATGGATGAAATGGAGAAAGAGACAGAGGATTGGGTACGAAAGTAAGGCAGCAAGGGAAAACGGCACTCACAGTAGCAGTCTTGCCATGGCCGCTGCCCGACTCAAGGTAGTTGTGCACGGCACGCCAGCCAAAGGTGCCGCAGTCGCCGTGGCAGCCGGTGCGGAAGCCATCGGGCAGGTGGCCCTGCTCCATGTGGAAGTGGCGCAGCGACAGCATCTTCATCGCCACCTCGCCCGCCTCACACGGCCGGCATATCTCGTCCGTTATGTTCCCTCTGCCGCTGGCCCCCCCTGGTGCTGGAGTGCCCTCTGTGCCAGTGCCGCTGCCCGGTGCTGCTGCGGGTGCTGGTGCTGCGCTGTCCTGCGTGGCATCCCTGGCCGTGCCGGTGGGGCACCAGTCGCACTGCACCACGCCTGTCTCCGGCACCGGCACCGCCTGCTGCCCACTCGGACAGTGCTCTGTGCACTCACCACCACAGGGGGTGCGGGTGGGAGGGGGTTGGGGTAGGGATGGGAAGGATAGGTGGAGATGCTGTGGTGCGTGGCTGGCTGGCAGGTGCAGGGGGGCGACGTACATCAGGCAGGGAGGACAGAGATGCTGCTCTAGGCAGCGGTGGTCCGAGGGAGATAGCTGGGTGGGAGAGGGAGATAGCTGGGTGGGAGAGGGAGATAGCTGGGTGGGAGAGGGAGATAGCTGGGTGGGAGAGGGAGATAGCTGGGTGGGAGAGGGAGATAGCTGGCCAGCGGATGGTAAGCATATGGAGCGGGAGACGGAACAGAGCAGGGGGAGTGGAGGCGAGGGCGGAGAGGGTGGAGAGGGTGAGGGAGAGGGGACGGACCACAGGGCAGCTCGATGGGGGAAGGGAGAGGGTCGAGGTCGCTGGGCTTGCAGATCTGCGGCTCCAACCACTTCCAGCTCTGGGGGGCACCAACAGGTCCAGGGGATTCAAGGGGGCGTAGGGATGGAGCGGAGAGATGCATGGGTTGGGTGAGCAAGGGGAGAATGAACTTGTGGTGGAAATGATGAGCAGCGCACAGACGAGCCTGGGAGACAAGGGTAACACGCTTGGGATGCGGAGCTGTGGATTAGAGGGCTGACTGACCTTGGTGCGCGTGAGCGTGGTGAGCTTGCAGGGGCCGATTTCTGATGTGGCATCGCGGTCCACCCTGCAGGCTGAGAGTGAGGAGAGGCAGAGCGAACAGAGACGCGTGGGGTGCGATGGCGGAGTGCGGGTGGAGTGAGGAGCAGAGCGAGAGTGAAGGATGCAGTTGAAAGCAGCAGGCAAAATAGCGGGCGGAATGAAGAGGTGGACTTGGGACCAACGGAGCCATGCAGTGGGCAGCGTCCGCGGCAGCGGCAGCAAGGGGCAGGGGCAGAGGCAGCGGCAGCGGCAGTGGCAGAGAGAGGAGCTCACTGGGGCGGTCGAGGCACTGTGTGCGCGGGATGATCTGCGCGTACTGCTCCGGTGTACACGCCTTGCACTCCGCCGCCCCCGCACTGCCACCACGTGCCACGGGGAGATGGTGATGCGGTCATGGGGAGTTTTGTACGGTGAGATGGAGAGGAAATAAAAAACCCATGCAGGGGAAGGTGGCATTGTGCAGAGAAATAGGAAAAGTGCAAGTGAAGAGGGAAGGTGGACAAATGTGGCAAGGAGACACTCATGAGTCGATGCAGACAAGGCTTGCAGCACTCCTGGTGACAGCACGTGGGAGTGGAGAGGTGCGAACGGCAGCAAGTAAAGGAATGCGACATGCAGGTAGGCACCCACCTGGAAACGGTGTTGGGCGCACATGGCAGACACGTGCTTGCTCCCGCCGCACTGCTCATTACAACAAACGCGGGTGTTCAGTCAGAGGGGGATGACGAGGTGGGTATGCAAGAGAGCATGGGCGTGTGATGCAGGGGAAGCGTGCTCTGAGAAGCAGAACAGATGTGCAAGTGCCACATGCACACGGTGCTCCAGCAATTACCAGTTGATAAAATGCATGCACAGCACACGTGCTTTGAATCAAAGGTTGCATCAGGCCCTGATGCCCCAGTCCCATGCATACACACATGCCCCCACCCCCATGCATCATGCATGTCTGAACACGTCCATGCATGCCCGCATGCCCTTGTGTGTGCGTGGGCGCACCTGTAGAAGCCGGCTTCACAGGGCGTGCAGGCGAAGTCGTTGAAGCCGATGCCGTCCACCTCGATGAACTGGTGCGGGGGAGGGGTGCGAGGACACACACGACAGAGGAACAAGAGGGAGACACGCGAGGGGGACATACAATACAAGCACCGGTAGGTGAATGTGGAGCAATGAGGGCAGGGACCGAGGAGAAGAGACAAGGCCGAAGATCAAGGGTCAACAATGCATGCTGTTCGATGCATGTGATGCAACACTCACAACCACAACACACGTGCTTGGTGCAGCCCTCACTCTGCACAACGCAATGCCCTCGCCCTGCCGCCACTCACCCGCAGCGTGGCGATGTCCTCGCCCTTGGTCCAGCGCGCGTCCTTGGAGTAGAGCCACACCAGCGTGTGGTGCCCCGCCGTGAGCGGGAAGACCACTTGGCGCGGCTCAAACTGGTAGGACTCGAGCGCCATGGCGGGCTGCGACAGCGAGTCGATGAAGAAAGACAGCCCATCCCGCCCCATCTCCGCACTCACTGTGAAGTTGAACCGCACGTGCCTGGCGCCGGGGAGTAGGGGGGATAAGGGGTGGGGGGGTGAGAGTGATGGGCGAAAGATGAGGCTCGGGGGTTGGCAGTATGGGGCATAAGCTGAGAAGAAAGAGTACTGCTCTGACACAACTCCTAGCCCAACAAGGGGGTGTGGTGTGCAAGGGGTGTTGTATACGAGGGGCGTTTCATGCGAGGGGTGTTTCATGCAAGGCGTGTTGCATACAATGCATGGCGCATGCAAGGCAAGGCAGCGCACCCATCGCGGACGAGGTCGACTTCGAGGGAGAGGGTGGAGCGCACGTTGTTGTGGCAGTTGTACGCCTTGTCCGACGCACACACGTCCTGCCACACACAAGGGACGGCGTTCGAGGGAGATGATAAGGGTACGGTGGGATGAGGGGATGGGGAGACGTGAAATGATAAGGGAGGCAGTGCGAGAGGCGGGAGGTGGAGATGAGGGGCGCGCATGCCCGGAGGCAGGGGGGGATGAGGGCACAAACGGACGTGCAGCACATGCATGGGATGCAGTTGAGCAGAGGGAGGTGGCGAGTGTACTGACGGGGTTCCAGTCGTTCATGTAGTCGTACGCGCCCACCTCCAGCGCCCCATCATCCGCATACCACGGCTCGCATGGGAACATGCCCGAAGCGTTCTTGTACTTGCACTCCGTCTGCCCGGAGGGGTGGAGGGGGAAGAGGCAGACGCATGGGGGTTGGGTGGGTGGGAGGGCATGCGAGCAGGAGGAAAGGTTTCAGCAGGGGAGCATGCAAAACGGGGCAAGCACAGGAGCAGAGGCTGCTGATGGCACGCTGCTGCTGAGCCTCTCTTCTTCCCTCATGGGTGCAGTGCAGCACAGCACAGTGTGCTTGCGTGGTGGCGCTGCACAAGAGGAAGTGTCCCAAGAGGTACAGGCATGCTGCACTTGACCGAGGCTCCCAGCGAGATGCAGAGTCGGTGGCGCAAGAGCAGGTGGGGCAAGAGAAGGGGGCGGGCAGGGAGCAGAGGCAGCAGGAGCACCTTGAAGTACTTGGGGTCGACTTGGTAGAACTTGTTGAACACCAGCGCGCCCGCTGTGCTGTACGTGCCTGGGGAGGGGGGCGAGGAGGGCGCAGGGAGGAGGGGCAGAGAAAGAGGATCACGGAGGGATGAGACGCTTCATGCGAGGGGCTTGAGGGGATAGAACATGTCTGCGCGGCACACGTGGCACGTGTGGAATGGCGTAAACGTGAGGAGAGATGCATGGGGAGACGCATGGGGAGATGCATGGGGAGACGCATGGGGAGATGAAAGTAGAGATGCATGGGGGGATGAATGGGGGTGAGCGAAGGAGCAAGGGCACGCACCTGCAGGGCAAATCTGGCAGTCGTCGTGGTGCAGAATGTGACCCGCCCCGCACTTGTGGTCTGCACGCACATACACACATACACAGACGCAAGGCAGACATGCACGCAGGCACCGCACCCACAGACGGGCAGGGATGCAGTGCATGCAGGCAGCACGGGAGGTACACGCATGTGAGATGCAGCTGGGTGCATGTGGGGAGAGGAACGTACACAATGCCAGCATAGGATGTGAATTAGATGCAGCCCAGAAGGGGATAGACGGCCGGAGAGGTGTGGAGTTGGGAGGAGGGATAGAGGGGTAGAGAGGGGTACCGCAGGGAATGAAGGTGTTGGGCGGCAGAGGCACGGCTCCCCTGGCATAGGGATTGCACTCCTTGTCGAAGTAGTAGATCACCTGCAAACACAGTCAGCACAGCACCACCACCCCCACACCCCACACACACCACATCCCCCCACCACCACACACACACAACACAGCACACAGAAGCAGGAAGGCATGAAAACGGGTGGAAACAGCTCATCCTTCCACTGCCCTGCCTACAGCATCGTCCCCAATGAAATCCCTTCCCACTCACCTGCATGTGAGGCACGTGCAGGCGTGGCTCACCTCGACGGCGGGCATAACGGAGAGCTTCTGGCCGGTGATGGAGTCGCGGATGTAGTCACACATGCCGTAGATGGACTTTATGTCCGCCTCCCCGCATGGGCGCGATGAGCTGATGCCTGCCACATGCAGGGGAGGGGGGAATGGGGGATGGTGGTGAGGTGAGCCTGTTGCTTTCCGACATGGCTAGGCGCAATGGTGGCGATTCTGGACAAGGGCGCAGCACAAGGGCCAAGAGGACGCGCTTGGGGGGGGGAAGGTGGGGAGGAGGGGATAAGGTTGGGTGAGTGAGGGAGGCCAACAGGACCAGATAAGGGGTATGAAACACGTGGTAGTTGATGGTTATGTATGACTGAGATGGGGATGGGCGAGATGACAGGTATGGCGGGGCGAGCAGGGAAGATGGGGCGGGCAGGGAGGGGGCTTACTGCAGTAGACGGGGTCGACGACGATTTGAGGGAGGCCGCCACCATTGGGCGAGTCACAGTCTGCACACACACGCAAGGCGATCGTGAGGACCGTGCATGCCCGCACACGCATGGTGATCATCCATGCACGTCTGTGCATGCCCGCACACGCATGGTGATCATCCATGCACGTCTGTGCATGCCCGCACACGCATGGTGATCATCCATGCACGTCCGTGCATGCATGGTGATAGTGCATGACCGTGCATCCAATGCAGGCCGTGATTGGTAAGGGGAAGAGGTGGAGCATGAGAGAAAGTGGATGGGGAAGAGGAAGAATATAGGAAACATAACAGTCACTTCTAAAGAAGTCATGTGCAACTGCATCAATAGACTCGCTCTCATGCGCACTCACTCTCACATGCACACCAACTCGCACGCGCATCAGTCTCACACAAACACTCACTGGTGCCAATGTACGAGAGGTAGCACTGGCCGCCATTCTCCGAGTACTTTGGCTCGTAGTCCTCCGGTGTGCATACTGGTGGAGGGTTGCACACACGGACGGCCAATTGGCTCAACGGAGGAGTATCAAGCAAGGGAACGCTGGGAGCGTATGGTACAAGCAGGAGTGAGCATTACATGGTTCAACGCAAGCTCCACGACCACCGTCATCACGCGCACCACATGATCGTGCGGTCCATGCATGTTCCATGCCACGTGGGTCCTCCTAGCATGGTTTACACGCACAGCATGTGTCCACGCAACGACATGGGTGCTCACCGCATGGTTCGTTGCGCATGGGGATGTCAGGGAATGCGTCGGTGCAGTTGCGCACTTTGACGTAGTTCACTTCGCGCTTGCCGTCTGCCACACATCCCATGCGACATACGATTGGAATTGAAGTTACATGTTGAACGAATTGAAGAAACGAGTCAACGGGATTCACAAGACATGTGAATGGGAAAGAAATATAAATATAATTAAAATTGAAAGACACGTGAGTGCGATAGTAACTGTTGAATAAAAACGAAATCATTGTGTTAGCATTTTTATGGCATTCAAGTGAGTGCAATTGACCACGCGAATACCGTGCGACATGCTGCAAGCCTCATGGCCAGCACGCGAAAGCCATTGATCTCCTAGCCCCACGAGGCCCTCCGTCATTCGCGACACGAGGTTATTGTCCGCCCTTCAAGCACGGGCGCGCGTTTTCTGTTTGCGCAATAGGGCGTCCGCAGTCCACGCCCTGCCCCTCTCCGCGGATCGCATCGTCTCACCTTGGCAGCGCTTCGACATTCTGACGTAATCCGTCAGGCCGCACGTCGTGGGCAGCTCGTCGCCCACCACCGACCCCACCACGCCCACGTCCTCGATGCGCGCACTCGCGTTCGCCGCGGGAGGCGGTTCCGCGAACGGCACCGGCTGATACGGCGGAGGCGACGGCGGAGGCGGAACCTCCGGATCGCCCCACTGCTGATCCGCCGGTGCCTCGCTCGGCCCGCCTGGATTCGCCTGCACGGCGCCCTGCGAAGTTTGGCTGCCCGGCACCGGCTGGTACCCGAGATTTTGCCCGCGCCCTTCCTCCCACGGCAAATTGCCGCCCAGCGGGTCCGAATGGTTGCCGCTTCGCTCCGGGAACGGCAGCCCCCCCTCCATCCATGGCGGCCGCTGACCCGGCTGCCATGGCGTCGGCCGGCCGTCCTGCGGCTGCGGGTATGATGGTGTCGGTTCTGTAGTGACCTGCGCGCGATTGCCGGGTAGACTACAAAGAGTAATAAATAGCGCGAATAGAACACATGCCGGTTTACTTCTAATGAAGCATCGGCGCGTCGCCATCGTCATGCAGAAAATTCAGAAAGAAGTTGCTGGATCCAATCAATACAGCTGGAAAACAGCCCGTATCCCCGTAAACGACGTCTAAACACCAACTGGTGCCAAAATCGCTTTCAGCAAAAGAGCAAACATTAGAGCCAGCTCCTAGGTAAAAGTGGGATCTTGGACCATCTCGCTACAATAACTGGCAATACCGAAACATTGGAGCGAAAAACGAGGAAATGGAATCACGGTGAGAGAAGAATTGGTTGGGATTGACGGAACGGAGGGGATGGAAGGGAGTGATGGGGGCTGGTCAGGTTGGGTAGAAGAAACGACACCGACCAACGGCAGCGCTGATTGCTGCTGCAAGGTGCGGTGGATGTGGTGTGACTCGTTTGAAAGAATCTTGAACGGAATTTCGATGCCGATTGTTACGGGTGCAATGAATCGAAGTAGCGAGAATTGCACTAAGGTGTCAAACGAGTACAAAGATATGAGCGAAGGCATGAACGAACATTTATACGCGAAACATGCAAACGGTAACGCGGTGTGTGCGAGCTAGCTAGTGCTATGCTGGCAGCGAGGCTCGGGCTATTCCCGAAGCGTAGGCCGACACGGCCGGGCCAGCAGTGCAAGGTTTGGCAAAACAGTGCGCGCGAAGTCAGCGAAGTCCCGTTAGCAGTAACGGGCGAACAACGGCTGTTGCTGTACGCGATGTAGTCGGGCTCCGTAAGGAATGCCGAGAAAATTCCTTACACTACCCCCCCCCCCCCTCAAGAAGCCCCCTCCGCTACGCGAGTGCGTGTATATCGCGGAATCCCCGGCTCCTAAGGTACACATGCAGGGCAGGGTGGTTTTCAATGTTGGCCAGGGGCACCCAACTATCTTCAGTTGGCGTGCGGTCCTTCCAGCGAACGAGGAATTCAATCCTCCTGATTCCCGTGGGGTGTCGAATCCGATGGCTCAGGATTTTTTCGGGCTCGATGATCGGCTCCGATGCAGGGCGGATCATGGATGACGGGCGGTGGCGAGGCAGTTGGCTTGTGGTTGGGATGTATGGGCGAAGCAAGCTGACGTGGAACGAAGGGCTGATGTACCAGTCGGTCGGTAACGGTAGGTGCGCGGTTAGTGGCATGATCATGTGGCTGATTTGGAATGGGCCACAATAGCGCGGTCGACGTTTCCGTGCGTCGGGCAGTCGCAGATTTTGTGTGTCGAGCACTACGTAATCCCCTAACTGGTGTGTGACGGGGCGGCGGTGTCGGTCAGCGTTGCGTTTAGCGATGACGTTTGCTTTTTTAATTGCTTCTGCGGCTCTGGTGCGAGCAGCTTGCAGAATTTCATCGAATTGCTGTGCGCGTGGTGTTGGGTTGTCCGGACTCGGCGTCATGGGCACTGTAAGATTTTGCCCGTAGTTCAGGTAGAAGGGGGACTGCTATGTAGTCGCTGACGTGGCGTTGTTGTATGCGAACTCGATCAGCGGCAGCTGATGCTCCCAAGCCGTAGGGTCGTCGCACGTGGCACGAATCAACTGCTCCATCGTCTGATTCGTCCGCTCCGTTTGACCGTCGGTCTCGGGGTGGTACGACGAAATGAACTGTAGCCTGGTCCCGAACTGCTCCCAGAGGTTCTTCCAGAAGTTGCTGGTGAACTTCGTGTCCCTGTCGCTGATAATCGCTGCTGGTATCCCTTGCAGGCGAACAACGGCTGCGATGAACAGACGAGCGGTCTCCTCGGCTGAGATCGACTTTTTGCACGCAGCGAAGGGTGCCATCTTCGTCAACCTGTCAACGATGACCATCACCGCGTCGTTACCCCCAGGGTTCGAAGGTAACCCTGTGACGAAATCCATGGTAACCTGCTGCCAGGCGCGCTCGGGCGGTGGTATCGGCTGCAATTGACCCGCCTTCCTCTTCCTCGAGCTCTTCATCACCTGACACGTGGGGCACGATGTCAAAACATTATAGCTTATATATATTTGTGTAGGCTATAGTGGGGTATCCCATAGGGGGTACAACCCAATCAGGGTTTCCTATATGTACTCACTTCATTCATAGTTGATTCATTCTCGTTCTAGTTTTCTCATGGTATCGAGCAGGTTCCCCCGTGGGAACCGTGCTTAGGGCCCACCACATCGAACTTTTTTTTCTGCCCGTAGCGCGCTCCGGGCCCTCTCTCTTACTTTTTCGATCTGCCCTAACGGCCCCTAGACGCCCGCGCGCCGCCCTTAGACGCCCGCGCGCCGCCAGTCCCGGCCCCTAGACGCCCGCGCGCCGCCCTAAGACGCCCGCGCGCCGCCCTAAGACGCTCGCGCGCCGCCCGTCCCGGCCCCTAGACACCCGCGCGCCGCCCGTCCAGGCCCCACGCCGCCCGCGCGCTTCCCTCAGAGCCCGCGCGCCGCCCGTCCAGGCCCCACGCCGCCCGCGCGCTGCCCTTAGAGCCCGCGCGCCGCCCGTCCAGGCCCCACGCCGCCCGTCCAGGCCCCACGCCGCCCACGCGCTGCCCTTAGAGCCCGCGCGCCGCCCGTCTCGGCCCCCTAGACGCCCGCGCGCTGCCCGTCAGGCCCCACGCCGCCGTCGCGCCACCCTTAGGCGCCGGTACGCCACCCGTCCCGGCCCGTCGACGCCGTGCGCCGCCCGATCCGGCCCCACGCCACCCGTGCGCCACCCGTCCCGGCCGCGCGCAGCCGTCCCGGCCCCTCGTCGCCCGTGCGCAGCCCGTCCCGGCCCCGCTCCCAGCCGCCCGTGCGCCACCCGTCCCAGCCGTGCGACGCCGTCCCGGCCCCACGCCGCCCGTACGCCACTGTGACACCCAGCCGCCCGAGCCGCCCGTGCCACCTGCGCCACCCGAGCCGCCCGAGCCGCCTGCGCAGCTGAGGAGCCGAGCCGCCCGAGCCGCCTGTGCCGCTGACCGCCTGAGCCGCCCGAGCCGCCCGAGCCGCCCGAGCCAGCCTGCGCCGCCCGAGCCGCCCGAGCCACCTGAGGAGCCGAGCCGCTGGTCCCGAGGTACTGCTGTTGCTGCTGGGCCGGCCGAGCTGCCGTTTTGCTGTGCTGCTGAGCTGCCCGACCCGTCCTGTCTAGTGAGACCGCCGACTGCAGTCATGGCTACCCCTAGTGTCCTAGCTTTTGACGCTGAGGGTCGTGCCATTGACTTTGAGGTCTGGGTCGACGACCTGCAGCTGTTCTTGCAGTGCGATAGGGTAGACGACCTTTCTCTCTTTGACCTTACCTCTGGCGCCGTCCCTGCCCCTACTGCTGATGCTGACCCCACTGTTCGCTCCAAGTGGGCCACACACGATGCTGCTGCACGTCTTGCTGTGCGTCGCCACCTGCCTACCGCTGAGCGCGCGCACTTTAGTCAGTACAAGAGTGCTCAGACCTTGTACGACGCTGTAGTTGCGCGCTACTCCTCCCCTGCCACTGCTGCACTGAGCCGCCTCATGCTACCCTTCCTCTTCCCTGACCTTGCTGCCTTTCCCACAGTCGCTGACCTCATTACGCACCTCCGCTCTAGTGACACTCGCTACCGCGCTGCGCTTCCTGCTGACTTCTGCGCCAAGAACCCCCCCCCCATGTACATCACTCTCTATTTCATAGTCACTCGTCTCCCTGACTCCCTTCATGTAATCAGGGACCACTTCCTCTCAGTCTGTCCCACCACACTCACTGTAGACCTCCTCGAGAAGTCCCTCTTAGCGGCAGAGAAGAGCATTGTCGCTGTAGGGGCCTCTCGTGGTGACCCTCGCACCCCCATCTTTGAGGGGTGTTCTCCTTCCCCCCTGCTGCCCTCTGTCGCCTCTGCTGCTGCGGCCGACCTTGTTGGTCTAGAGTCGGTCGGTGCGGCGTCTGCCCCTAGCGGGAGACGCCGCCCTGGCAAGGGCAAGGGGGGCAAGGGCGCGGGTGGAGCTAGCGGGGGCGGTGGCAGTGGAGGTGGGGGCGGCGGGGGGAGTGGGGGTGGCGGTGGAGGTGGTGGCGGGGGTGGGGGTGCTAGTGGCGGCAGTGGAGGCGGGGGTGGCGGCGGCGGTGGCGGTGGGAGCGGAGGTGGCGGAGGTGGTGGCGGTGGAGGCGGAGGCGGGGGTGGCGGTGGTGGAGGTGGTCGGAGTGGCGCTTCGCAGCGGAGCAGCACTGGGGGTGGTCAGCGCCAGCAGCAGCAGCGTTCTCGCGACGTCCCCACCCCTCAGCAGCTCCGTGAGTGGTACACGCAGCGTCAGCGTGGTGGGGGTTTTGGTCCCTGCACCTACGTCCTTCGCACTGGCGACCGCGCTGGAGAGCAGTGTGGGGGTACCCACACTGCCCAGCGCTGCTTTGGCCGCCTGACGGTCGCTTGGCGCCAGCAGTTCCCGGAGGCCGCGGAGATCCCCCGCTGGGGAGAGCTGTCTAGGGCTGGTGTAGCTATCTTTGATCTTGAGTTTGATGCTATCCTTGCTGCCATGTATGCTGTGACTATTAGTGATGAGGGTGACTGTTGCCGGTGTTTCCCGCCCGACCCGGGCATTGGTACTACTGCTCTAGGTGCTGGTGAGGCTACTGCTCTAGGTGCCAGTGCGTCTGTGCTCTCAGGTACTGGTGAGTCTGCACTCTCAGGTACTAGTGAGTCTGCGCTCTCAGGTACTACGTCGGCTTTCGGCCTCCCACACCTTCACCCTTGACTCTGGGGCGTCTCGCTCCTTCTTTCGGGACCGCACCACACTCACGCCGCTTAGTCGGCCGGTTGCGGTGTCCCTGGCTGACCCCTCTTGGGAACCTGTCCTGTCTCGCTTCTCCACAGTCCTCCCGTGTCCAGCGGCTCCCTCTGGCACCCTGTCTGGTCTCTACCTCCCCTCGTTCTCTACGAACCTGGTG